CTCTCCTCCACCCGCTCCCAGGCTCGAGTTAGGCTGGTGTCGAGGAGGGCCGCTGAGTCGCTGATCTGCTGCAGCAAAGGACCCCTCTCCAGACCCTCGAGCTCACAACAGTCAACGGATTTCTGGCTGACCGCGTTGAAAGGAGGACTGGCTGGGGAGCTTAAGGTTGGGAGGGAGAAGACAGAGGCAAGTAAACGAGGAAGATAAGTACAGCAAAATCAATGAGTGATGTTGTTGGGTCTGTACATGTTGTGCCTTTCTACCCTACGCTTTCTGACGTATTACAGTAAATTCCATATATCATGAAATGTCAGCCAAAATTCTCAAATGCGCTTTCGATTCATACAGTATGGCGAGTGCTGCAAGCAAAATGCCACAATCTTCGAACGACTGAAAATCGCTCAAAAACTAACATTAAGTACGGTTGCAGTATTGATTAGAGTGCAGTCTACTTTCAGGTCTTTTCAGTCACGCCAGGATGCCGGCTCTGCAATGAACTTCTTTCTGGCCACTCACAAAAAGTAGATTCTGTAAAAAAAAATGGCAACTTGAATAGCATGCATTTTAACTGCCTTTATAAATTTAAATATGTATTTTATACAAAACATGCACGAAAAATTATTTCTTGTACTCGCTTGGCAGAAAATTACGCCTTAAAGAAGGGGTATGCTTCGGTTTTAGAAAAATTTCTTATTATGAGATTTTTTACGACTGTTAGGTGCTCATTAATAATATATTATATCCGTCAATGTATTAATACTGCCTATAATTTATACAGCATGATCTATATCTATTGCAAAATTGTATGAGAAATATGCGACCTCTTGCTGAAACCGTAGGCGAAAATTTTTTTCCTTAAACAGAATGTACACAGCATACTATTTGGAAACCTTCAATTAAACTGTAGCAGTTGGTAAATTTCAAAATGATTCGGCAATTTAGAAATATTTTTTAAAACCGAAAAAGGGTCAAAAGGGACTCTAGAACTGCGCATCTGGCTTCCTGGCCAAGAGCTCAGTGCTTATAAAGTATACAATATGGTCCAGCTCCAATGCCAGATTTTAAGAGCACTGTGTGACGTCTTCCTCATAGCGTGGAGAATTTTTGCATTTTCCTTAGACGAAACGTACACAGCATGTAGCTTGGAAACTTTGCATGCAGGCGTAAAGACAGGTCGGATTTAAATTATTCAGCAATTGAAAAAAGTGTTGTAAACCCGTAAGATAGCCCTCCTTTGCGTATATAATCGGAGGAGTGGCTATCAAGTAAGTACAAAAGTTTAGGACATATTTTCTATAAGTTACACTTGAATTTACGCGAGCATTGAAAAAAACCAAGGGCAAAAAAGTATGACTACTTAAATGGTCTCCTTTTAGTGTGTTATTTTTGCGGGCGGCTGGAGGGGAGTTTGTTTAAGACCCGACATTCTGGCGTGATTTAATTATCTTGGGATTAGGCTGCAAGATGATCAAATATTAAAAATCTGCTTGAATCATTCCTTTCGAAGTGAGTTCCGTAACCGATCGGTGAGCGCCTATCTGCCATTGTGTACATTCGCGATGAAAAACCGGCAAAGCAAGGAGTCTTTGGGGTCTTATTTGCCCTTGCCTTATAATAATAAACTACTTTTACATTTTCAGTAGCCTGAATGTCCTTTTTCTCGTTAAATTCCACCAATATGAGGTCGAATTTCCATCAATAGGTATCAGTTGCCTGAACAACAGGAGTTTAGGTTGATGGAGTTGATTATACTTAGCTCGTTAAAACAACTATAGGTGGCTTAAATTTAGTATTTTATATCGCCTTCAACGCAATTACATATACATTTATACTCGCTAACCGAGAATTAAATGTTTAACCACCAATTCCCTAAGACAGCTGGGCTCTACAAGACAGTTTTGCCATAACCTGGAAGTTATGGATTAACTAATGCGCTTTTGCTTAATAAAAACCGCATAGAGGAACCTAAAGGGCGATATCCAAAATAACTCCCTAAAGATAAGCTGTTCGAGCTGATCCTGGAAGTCCTGCCTTTCACTAAGCGTATCATGGGTGAATATCCCTAACAGAACACTGTTCCGAGAAGAAGAAAGAGAAGAAGAAGAAGAAGAAGAAGAAGAAGAAGAAGAAAAGGTAGAGGAAGAACTTACTTTAAGGCGGCAGTTTGCATCTTCTCAAAAGTCGCCAAAAGAACAATCTTCCTAAGAAGCGTCTCGTGATTCGTATGCACAGCCGCCAGCTCGGAGGCAAAGACGTCAGCGTAGGAGGAGAGAAGTGCATTGAGCGTGGACATCTGCAAGCGAGGCAAGAAAGGGCATCCTGTTTACCAGACACGAAACACAGATCGATCTCAGTAGGGAATAACAAAAAGATACAGATAACTCCGTCTCCTCAAAACGCCGATGATGTGTGGCTTATTTCCTGGGGTTGCTGACGTTAAAAAACGGGACGTCTTCACCTACCTCATCGGAAGACTTCGTTCAAGTTCCGACGTCCTGCGACACCTATCCACTCTACCTCAAGGTTCACTGCCGATTTTTGACCAAAACAGACATAAGAAAAAAATAGCAGCTATCTTTCTTTTAAAAAACAGCAGTAAACTGGAAGAAAATTGCAACTGTTCAAGTACAGTTCATGTTTCTGACCACCTTTCAACTGTCCAATATAGTAAATGGCGAAGCAAACAAAGCAGTTTTCAAAAAATAACTTCGAAGTAGCCAACTCTCCTTGCAAGTAAAACGCCTACTCTTTGAAGAAAAATTTTATAGCGCTGCTCAACTTTTACCCGTCTTCCTGAACGGCAGCATTCGTGTAGATAGATCCTAGCATTTTCGATGGAGACTAAGGCTGCTTACAAAAAAACATACTTGTGTTTAAAGCATTGGAATTTTAGCAAGCAAGGTCATGGGTTCGAGCCTCGGGGGTCGTCACCCCTGGGTTAGGGTATGGCTAGCCGATGACAACTAAGAAGCCACAAATGGCCATTCCAGTTTCCTTTATGTTTATTAGGAGGGGATAACAAATGTGAATATTTCAATTGACCCAACTGTGGAAATTTCGCGGCCCTAGTGGGATTCGAACCCCCGTTAACAAAGGAAGGCTTGAGTACAGCCAACGCTCTGCCAAACGAGCTATGAAGCCTACGGAGAGCCGTGAGGTTAATCACCCTTGGGCCGATTTACTCGGCCAGCCGACCGTACGTATGGAATCCATCGAAACGGGTGCAGTCAGCTGACTGCCCTAGATGCTGCGCAAGTCTACTATTACTTAAAACTAATTCAGGCGCAACTCACCGACCCCACACCACCCTGTTTGGGGAGCAAATGGTGGGCATCGTCGGAATCTACGGTCGAATTGTCGGTTGACCTGGTGTAAGCCACCGTCAAATGTATGCCAGTCAGGGATGTATGCATACTATGAGCCCATGTAGCCTGTATTTGTATTCCACGCAGTTGCTGTGTAACTCATTTGGTGAATAATAAGACAGATGGACCTGCAGCCGCGGGCAGGAAAACGACTCACTACAGATGTTGTCATCCCGTGTGCAAAGCGTCTTGTGAAGAACGGCAGACTGCTAAAACCCCAGCCCTGAGTGTTATGCAGGGACCTCAGAGCCTTGGAATATCTGCAATACTCTAAACTCGAAGTCTGAAAAGGTGCACAGGCTTAGCGATGCGGCTATACCGCAGTGAAACGTTTCTGCTCTGTGCAATCTACCGTGCTAGGTGACGGGAATGTACACTTAGGAAGTCCGACGAAAAGATGGCCTGTCTGCTGGTAATAATTAGAATGCAACACACATGGGACGGAAAAGATGTGGTCTGATGTTGAAATTTACAAACACTGGTGCCCAGATGTAAAAAAGTCAAGGCAAGAGCTCCGCGCCAACACACCACACACTGGTGGGAGAATGCTCAATCTCTGCTGTTTGACTTCCCCGGATTTATTCGCCTACAAGGAGAGAGAGGGAACAACCAACTCTATGGTTGTATGCGGACGCCTTTGTCACCAAAGGCAACCTCATCAGGAAGATTTCGGTAGTTGTAACATTAGCATTACGTACGCAACCGTCATACGCAAAAGTGAGTAGTTGCAAATGAGCCGCTGTCATAACGTCGACGGCATAATTGACCTTCACATGTTCCACACCCGGGGCGAGGGTGTATGTTGTGAAGGAAACGGAGGACAATCTCGGCCTTATCAGAGCAGCAATAGCAAGCCTATACCGCGGACGAAGTAAAGGCAGATGGGTTCGAATGAATTGGAGACCAGCGGTGCCATAGCATACGGGAGGGGACAACGCGACAATGATGTATAAGGGCGGGATAACACTGAGTGACCATCAGAAGAAGACGATTCGACAGCTACTTCCAAATACCGATAGCTGCCTGACCCCATCTCATTGATGCACCTAGTCAATTGCTTAACGTTAACCTAACGACAAAACATTCGGCAATGCGGTTACTCGCACAACAACAACACATTGCTCCGGTACGCATATAGTCGCAGAAATGATTTTCAGGCGCTTGCGGAGCCATCATAGGTATCGGTCTACAAGGGGTTAGAGGCTTAAAAAACAGCTGTCTTGCTAGGTCAGGGAAACCAGAATAGCCACTTCAGGTTTATTTGCCATTTCGGGCTCAAATTCAGACCGGAAGGCCATGAGATTAGAGTACGTCCATGGCTGCGATAACACAATCTGTCCAGGTCCTCACATACATGAATGGTTCAGAGCAAAGTTGTGGATCACCCGGGTGGTCATTCGTTCCTACAGCTAATTATGTTGGTTGCTAGCCGCGAAGATCCCATAATGACCGACAGAACGGAAGTAGGTAAAAGTCTATTACAGATACCATCACGGAAATCAAAGCCCCCGCATTGTGTAACACAGGACCGACGGTAGTGGTAATATATTTCTTAAATGTATTTTTATTATTTTATGCAATTAAGTAAAAAAATTAAATTAGTTTTTAACTACCGCGCGCTTTTTTATTGGTACGTATTAGCTCTTTATAATAATTTTATCTACTATTTCCTGCTTTTTTTCTTATATTTCTTTTACCTCCTGCGCCTCCAGCAATGCCTCACCCGCATGACCACTGCTCACGCATTATAGAATTCTGGGTTTGGGTCTCCCTAATGGTACCTATGATAGGCTGTTACCCAGATGTTGTTATAACCCTATGTCAACACTGATTATATCCCCCAGTTATGTGTTAGGAAGAGAAGGCAGAACAGGATAGCAGATAATAGTTTACTGTTACTATTTTTGCTTGTACATCAGCGCTGTCTTCGGTGTGCCCGTCAGCAGCGTGTCCTCTGTCTTCGGTAGCTCGGCAGCAGAATCTCGTGTCCCCAGCAGCAGAATGCCATTCTGCTCGCAGCCTCGCTATTTAAGGA